GTTTGTGCTGTGTTATGCTGCTCCACAGGACTTGCTGGCACCTCCAGGTGCTATAGCATTAGCAAGGAGCACTGCTGGGCACAGAGGAGAAGTCTCTAGTCCTTAAAAGTGATTAAAAACATCATGCTGCATTGAAACTTTTATGAGGTTTAATCTAGTGTTCCTTCATTTTATTTTGGGCAAAATTGCAGGAGGTCCAACTGTTATAAAACTGATAATTTTTTAATGGCTTTATATAATTAGGATGTCTTCACTCTGAGGTTGTTCAGTTTGATCACAGCTTTTTCCTCTTGTACTTCATGCTGAGAAGTTTTATCTGTTTGATTTCTCACTAAAGTATGACTAATTAAAGATCCGACCACAGAAGTATTTAAAAGCAATGTTTTAAAGTACAAACAGTGTGAGTTCCTCGGGTGTCATTGCTTGTTTTCATGGTGCTGCTCCAGCCTATAGGAAAGATGAGCTTCCCACAAACTCAAGTGCTCTACTATTTTAATTTGGGGTTAGATGAAGGGTGAAGACATTGTTTCCCCACTGCAGAAATATTTTGTTCCAGAACGTAGGTGAGAAAAAGGAAAATAAATTCCATAGAGTGAGGGACATTTACTGTCTGAGCTCCAGTCAGATGATGGTTTTTTTACAATTTAAATGGCAGTAGCAGGGAGGGAGGTTTTAGGCAGAGACTGAAATCAAGTGAGGTGTTGTTTTGACTTTAAAGTTGGTTGGAAGTAATAAAAAATTAAATACTCTGGATATGATGACAATATTCTTCAGATGACTGTGCTTATAAAAGTAAGATAATGGGACTGACTGCTTTTAAATTGGTGGAAAGCAGGTCATGGTGAAAGCCAAGGCTGGCATGGTTTCTATAGTATTATCAGTTTCCATGCTTACAGGACACAATAGTAAAGCAGGAATCTTGGAACCTGTAAATCTTTCACTGGTTCTTAGTTGCAGTAGAACAGTTAATGTAAAAAATATCTTTCTCACTTTGCAATAACTCTCACTGGAAGCACAGAGAATGAAGGGGAAGAAAAGCAAGCTGATGAAGGTTTGCTCTGGCTCAAGTAAGAGCAGATTTGATTCCAGAAAGATCTTTGCAGCAGCAGCAGCACACTAGCTCCTATCAGCTAAAGCCTTTGACTCTTAAAATATGTGTTCCAAATACGTATTCTAAAACATGCATGTTCTTGTTTACCAGATATTGACATATTTAGACTACTAACTTTAATAAAAAACCACCCCAAACAACCAAAACCTCTCCAAATTCCTCTCTTAGTTATAGAGGAAGGTAGTAAGTACAAAAGGAATGAGGATGCCTTCCATTGTGGGTGTACAGGAGGGTAAAGAGTGTTTTAAGAGATTGGGATTTTAGTAAAAATCATCTACAGTAAAGGGGAGAGAATGGTTAGATATAGGCGTAAAAAGGACATTTGGCAACTTAGGATGTGTTATCTTCTTTATATCTGGCTTTCCATAAAGGAAAAAGTCTTCCAGACTTAAGGGAAAGTCTTTCTGCCTAATGTTTTTAGAGGGCAATGGATTCAATCCTATATAGCAGCCTAGAAAG